CCCACAGTGGACACTATGAGTGGGTTGTTTTGCCTTTTGGTTTATGTAATGCTCCTGCCACATTCCAATAACAATTCTATTAGTGTATGTAGATGATATTATAGTAAGTGGGGATGACAAAAGGGAACAACAATTGTTAAGTGAATGCCTTGCCACGGAATTTGAGATCAAGACACTAGGGAGGCTTAAATATTTTTTAGGAATTGAAGTGGCTCACTCCAAGAAAGGAATCTTCATATCTCAACAAAAGTATATTACTGACTTGCTTAAAGAAACAGGGAAGACAGGCTGCAGACCAGCAAGTACTCCAGTTGACCCAAATATAAAGTTGGGAAGTATGGAGGAGGATATTGCCGTGGACAAGGAAATGTATCAAAGACTTGTGGGCAGGCTTATTTACTTATCTCACACTAGACCAGACATTGCTTTTGCTGTGAGTCTAGTCAGCCAGTTTATGCATCAACCAAAGGAAGCACATTTACAAGCTGCTCTTAGAATTGTCCAGTACTTGAAAGGGACCCCCGGAAGAGGGATTTTGTTCAAACGAAATAAGAGTGTAAGTCTTGAAGCATATACGGATGCGGACTATGCAAGGTCAGTGGTAGATAGGAGATCAACTACTGGATACTGCACCTTCCTTGGTGGAAACTTAGTGACTTGGAAGAGTAAAAAACAGAGTGTAGTGGCTAGATCAAGTGCTGAAGCAGAATTTCGAGCAATGGCCCACGGAATATGTGAACTTCTATGGCTGAAGATTATATTGGAAGATTTGAAGATAAAGTGGGATGAACCTATGAGGTTATATTGTGACAATAAATCTGCAATTAGCATAGCCCACAACCCGGTGCAGCATGATAGAACTAAACATATCGAGGTTGACAGACACTTTATCAAGGAAAAACTTGACAGTGGCATGATTTGCACACCATATGTATCCACTCAGAATCAACTTGCAGACATACTCACCAAGGGGCTGAACTGCACTCACTTTGAAAGAATTATATCCAAGCTGGGAATGGAAAACACCTATTCACCAGCTTGAGGGGGAGTGTCAAAACCGTGATTGGCGTTGTGTATTTTAGGAAGTTTTATATTTGCTATGCTGTATTTCTGTAACAGTCTTATGCTGCCATTATTAGATTTATTTATGCAAGATTAATCCCGTAATCATAGGGATTTGTCTCCTTAGAATTAACTGTCCATATTTCCTAAAATAGGCTGCAGATTCATGTATATATATAGAGGTTTAATAACCTCATAAATCAATAAGAGAGAATATTATTTCTTCTAAATTTGAGAGAGGGGACCTTGGATCCAGTTTTTATGTTCTAAGCTTGATGCATACAATTTGAATGAAAAAAAAAACACGTGTCATGGGTGTCGCTATGGGCCATAGTGACACCCAGTAAAAGAGCCCCAAAGGTATAAAATGTTTCAAAACAGCCTCATTTTAGTAATAAGTTTCTAAAAGTGCACCACAATGGTAGTTTAGCCAATATTATATTTTTAATACTAAAATTAATTTTTTTTCAAAAAAGAGCAGAAATACTCCACCAAACACATCCCCTTTACCCCATGTGTGAACCAATATAAATCCTCCTTCATTCAAGATCTTTGCAACAAAACCAAACAATACCTACCTCCATTAATAAAACACCACAACCATGTCATTGTCAATGGCAACTTCTCCTCACACCACCCTCTTCAGAACCCGCACCACCCGCTTCAACCCCACATCGATCAAATGCACCCAAGATCGCGTCTTCAACTTCGCCGCCGGCCCCGCCACCCTCCCGGAAAACGTCCTCCTCCGGGCCCAATCCGAGCTCTACACGTGGCGCGCCTCCGGCATGAGCATCATGGAAATGAGCCACCGCGGCAAAGACTTCCTCTCCATCATCCAAAAGGCAGAGTCCGATCTCCGCGCCCTCCTCCAGATCCCGCCGGAATATTCCGTCCTCTTCCTCCAGGGCGGCGCCACCACCCAGTTCGCCGCCCTCCCCCTCAACCTCCTCCCCTCCGGCGGCGCCGCCGACTACGTCGTCACTGGCTCCTGGAGCGACAAGGCCGTCAAGGAAGCTAAAAAGTTCTGCAAGCCGAACGTGATCTGGTCCGGGAAGCCCGAAAAGTACACAAAGCTTCCATCTTTTGATGATTTGGAGCAGAACAAGGATTCTGGGTATCTCCATATCTGTGCCAATGAGACCATACATGGGGTTGAGTTCAAGGACTACCCTGTTTCCAAGAGTGGTGTTTTGGTTGCTGACATGTCTTCAAACTTTTGCTCCAAGCCTGTTGATGTGTCCAAATTTGGTGTCATCTATGCTGGGGCCCAGAAGAATGTGGGCCCCTCTGGTGTCACCATTGTGATCATTAAAAAGGACCTCATTGGGGAGGCTCAACCCATCACTCCTGTGATGCTTGAATACAAGATCCATGATGAGAACCACTCACTCTACAACACCCCTCCTTGCTATGGGATCTACATGTGTGGGTTGGTGTTTGAGGACCTGTTGGAGCAGGGTGGGTTGGAGGAGGTTGAGAGGAAGAATAGGGCCAAGGCTCAGATTCTCTACACTGCCATTGATGGGAGCAAGGGGTTTTATAAGTGCCCTGTGGAGAAGTCTGTGAGGTCCTTGATGAATGTGCCTTTTACTTTGGAGAGGACTGAGTTGGAGGCTGAGTTCATCAAGGAGGCTGCTAAGGAGAAAATGGTGCAGCTCAAGGGACATAGGTCAGTGGGAGGCATGAGGGCTTCCATTTACAATGCCATGCCTTTGCCTGGTGTTCAAAAGTTGGTGGCTTTCATGAAGGATTTTCAAGCCAAGCATGCTTAGAGTTAGGGTGGAGTAAAATAATAACTAGAATCTTGGTCATATTTTTTAATCACAATTCTAGTTTCATTAATATGCATTTACATTAATTAAAGCAGATTTTGAAAATATAAACTTACATGAGATCAAATTTTAACTCTAATAGTTAAAACTTTAGACAAGTATTGATTACTGTATGTAAATTTTCTCCATTCTATAATCAGCATTAGAGCTCACACTGCTTGGGTCTCATATGTTTAAGTATTTTTGTCTGGTATGCATAAAGGGTCACCACGTACAATTCAAAAGAGTCTCTGGTCAGATTTTGCTTTTATTGGTTAGGAATCTTAGCTGTCTCTTTTTTTGTTGTGTCAACTGTCATGTTGGATATTCAAATTTGGGTCGGCAGGTAGTGTTTCCATTGCGTTTTACCGTTGTCGATTGGAGGTGAAGTAGTTTAGTTTAGATTTGATTTTGTTGATATACAAGTTGTATGGATTGAGCCTCTTGTGATATTTTACTGGATGTAACATGAAATATGTTCTCAATAAATTGAGATTAAACATATTAAACTTCTGTGGTAAATTCTGTATGAATTATGCAAATCGCATGATTTATGGTTTGTTTATATATTCTCATAAAGCTCAAGGATATTTATGTAACTTACTTTTTTCCCCTTATTCTTTAATGTTATGGGGACATTTTGGTTGGGCCGTGTATGTTCTTACTTGTTTAATGTTATGGGGAAATTTTATCTGAGCATGATATGAGTTACGTGGTTATTTCATGCCTCATGAAGGGATGGCAACGGGGCGGGATACCCGTACCTGTTCTCGCGAGTTAAATTCATCTCTGTCTCTGTCCCTGTATTCGTCGGGTATGTAATTTTCATTTCCATTCCTGTCTCCGTTGGGTATCGGGTATACATGTACCCGTACCCGTACCTGTCAAATTATTTATTTTTTTTATTATTTTTTTTAAAATATAATATTTTTAAATTATTTTTTAATTATATTATAATTATAATTAGGTTATTTCTCTATCTTATTTATAATAAATAATCACACACAAAAAAATACTAAAATTCTTTAATATAATTAAATTGAAAGTGAGTATTAACTTAAAAATGAGAACGGGGACGGGTACGAGGCGGGTAAGTACATACCCGTACCCGTACCCGTACCCGTACCCGTACCCGATTTAATATATCGGGTTTTACTCGTACTCGTACCCATACCCGGTCAAACTGGGTATTCCCCGTCAAAGTCGGGACGGGTACGGGTATATTTGTCATCCCTACTCATGATATACACTTTTCTATATTAATAATACATCTCTATTATATTTTTCTTCTAAATACTTTTAATGTTTTTTATTTTTAATTTTTTGACTTTAAGAATCTCTTTGTTTCAAGGTTCAATATTTTGTTTTCAAAACTCTCACCTTCTTTTCACACTCGCTCCTTTCTTTCTTGTGTTTTTATCTACAATGAGTTCATTTTCTTTTTCAAGTACTCACCTTTTTCACTCACATTTACCCCTTTTTTATTCCATTGTCTTTATCATTCAATTTTTTTTTTCTTTCAAACACTCATCCCTTTAACTTGCATCTCCTTTCTTCATTTTTTTAATATTTTCATTCAAACAAAAAATTTAAAATTGCAATTTTCCTTCTAAAACATAGAATTTTAAGATTTTTATGCATTGTTTTTTTGACATGCATTCAATTTTCATAACACTAATTTTAGTATTCTAAAAAAATCAGAAATATTTTAATAATTACAAAAAAATATTTTTTAAAGGTGTGTTTTTTTATATAATTTTAGAAAATGCTTTTGGAACACAAAAGAGAAGAAGGATGAAGGGGAAGTGTATATTATGAGCCAATTTTTTTCAATTCACACGCAGTCCTTTCCTTCATTTTTTTTAGATTCCAAAACGATTAGAATTTTTGAATTTTAATTTTCTTCAAAAATATAAAATTTTAAGATTCTCGTGCACGTTTCTTTTAACATGCATCAAGCTTCCATAATAATAATTTTAGTGTTTTGGAAAAAAAAATTCTATAAGATAATTTTCATAGTTATTGAAAGTATTTTTTGAAGATGTATTTTACTATATGCTTTCTTAAAATACATTCTGAAACACTAAAGAAGAAGAAGAAGGATGAAGGAAGATAGTGTATATATCATGAGAGAATTATTTACTTGCAAAACTAATCTTTAAAATTGAACTTTTAATTTTTTTTTCCAAGCACTCACCCTTTTTACACATACCCCCTTCTTCCATTTTTCAAGATTTCAAAATGAACTAAAATTTTAGAATTATAATTTTCTTTCCAAAACATTGAACTTTAAGATTTTCATGCATCTTCCCTTTCACACACAGAGTTTCATAATTACAAAAAATACTTTTCGAATGTGTGAAAGTCCTTTCCCAAACAAAGAAGAAAGATGAAGGGAATGAGGTGTATATATCATAAGCTAATCATTTTCTTGCAAAATTAATCTTTAAAATTAAACATTCAAATTTTTTTTCCAACACTCATCCCTTTCACACTCATTCCCTTTCTCTATTTTTGAGAATTTCAAAATAAACTAAAATTTTAGAATTATAATATTCTTTTTAAAACATAAAATTTCAAGATTCTCACACATCCTTCCTAGTCACTTTTGTGACATTAATTTTAGTGTTTAAAAATTTTTTTTAGGAAAATATTTTCATAATTAAGAAAAATACTTCTAAATGTGTGTTGAACATTGAAAGATAATGGAGTAGGAAATGAATGTATATAAAAAGGGGTGAATACTTGAAGAAAAAAAAACCTTAAAGACAAAGGGAAGGAGGTTCATAAAGTCAAAAAATTAGAAAATAAAAAATATTAAAGATATTTTAGAGAAAAAATTATAATAAAATAGTATTATTATTAATATAGTAAAATATATATCTCATTAGCCTTATTTATTTCACGTTTGGACCTGATAGATTGTTAGGGGTTGTTAAACATCGTATTTTGAGGCTCGTTTTAGACCTATAGTGGGCTTGATCCAGTTTTGTTATTTTTATTTTATCACTTTCGTTTTACTTATTAGTTGTCCTTTTTTATTTATCTAAATCCTATTATTTGTTGGCCAGTACAGAATGTGGCGATAATAAATATTTTTTTTAATTATTATTAACGTCGTGGTTCGATATTATGGTATAGTTGGATAATTTTTTTAAAGTACTTTTTTGAGAGAAAAATAAAAAATAATAAACGATTTTATATATTAAAATTAATTTATACATATGTTAATTTATATTTTTTTTTATTAATTTCTTTAAAATTTTGTTTTGAACTTTTCTTAGAGCATTTTTCTTATTAATTTAAGTGTTTGTTGGGTAAAATTTTCTTGGAACATTTCTACGAGAGAAAAATAGTAAAGAAAAAAATGGAATAAGTTTTTTTTATAGACTTAAATTAGTTTATATAGAAGTTAATTTGCAAAAATTCTCTCCTATTAATTTATTGAAAATATTATTTTTAATTCATGTATAAATTATTTTGAGGTTATAGAAAAACTTATTTTAATTTTTTAAATTTTTTTTCTCTCCTATAAATACATTTAAAAAAAGTTATCTAACAAATTCTACTACATAAATTAATTTTAATTTATTTTTTTTCTATCTTTTTCTCCTAAAAATGTTTACAAAGAAATATAATCAATCATGTTCTATAATGGGTGTTTGAATTACTTTTCTATTAGATCCTTAATGAGCCTTTTCCGCTACAACCCTTCTCTTTCGTAAACATGCTACTATTATTTATAAAATTTTGATTTAGCAAGATATTACGCAAACACTTATAAATATGTAAATATTTTACAAATATTTTTCTACACAAATCAAATTTAAATTATTTAATTGTTGTACTCGATGATATTACACTCACAAAAATGCATATCAAATTTTAAATAATTTAGATTCTTCTATATATATTATCTAATAATGGATATCTACATGTACTTTGAATATCATTTTATACATTAAAAATAAAGTGATATAATGAATTATAAAATAACTTTGAAATTATATGCAATTTTTTATACTTAATTTAATTAACAATATCATTAAATATAATAGTTGGATTAGTTGAACTTATATTCTATACAAAATTGTTGAAGGTTTCATTTCACTAATTTGACATCATGGTATCAATAGATATTGACTTATATTAAATTTCAATAATCTAATCGTTAAAATAAAAGTTTTAATCTATATATCAAGTTTATAAATTTTTAATTTTTTTGAAAATCATATGATACTTTGTTATATATATTAAAATCAATGTAGAAAATATTTTTATGATTATCTATCGATTTGAAATAACGAAATGAAATATTAAATTATTTTCAAAATTTTCAAAATTTGTAGATTCATCTATGCATTAAAAACTTTTAATTTAATAGTTGAATTGTTAAAATTCAACATTCACCATAAACTATTAAGTGTAATAACTTTACAAAAATTTACTTTTAAAATAATTTGATTCCTTAAATATATATATATATATATATATATATATGAGGAGGGATCATTTTACTCTAGGAGTAAGTCTACCTAGACTTACTACATTCAATAACTCATGTTCTACATTAAATATTAACGATCCAACCATTTAATTTAAAGTTCTTAATGCATAGATCAAATCTGCAAATTTTTAGAAAATTTAAAAATCATTTGATATTTCATTTCATTAATTCAAATTGACGGATAATCATAAAATCATTTTATACATTGATTCAAATTAATGAAACGAAGTATCAAATAATTTTCAAATTTTCTAAAAATTTGCAGATTTGATCTATGCATTAATAACTTTGAATTGAACGGTTGGATTGTTAAAATTTGATGTAGAACATGAGTTATTGAATAGAGTAAGTCTAGGTAGTCGTGGAGTAAAAGGATCCCTCCTATATATATATATATATGAGACTTCAAACGACACTGATATAACTTTTACCAACTATTATATTATTCAATAGCTTTTAATTAAATATAGGTTTGGTTGATTCAACCATTGAATTATAGCTTCATATTACCTAAAAAGTAGTCA